AATGAACGGACGAACAAACGCATAGAAATCAATTCAATTCTCCGCTGACTCAACAGGCTTACCTTCTTCCGAATCGTAAAAAAGCCGGTCATTGCCTTGGACTGTGAGTACGAAAGCATGCCCAACGCTTTGGTGGCTGTAAGCAGCAACAACATAGACACCATTCCTGAGCTTGATCTCGTTGAGTACACGGACGCCACGCCGAACAGGAACCGCCAAATTATCCAGAGCAATGGCTCTATAAAGGAAGTCACGGCCAGCATCACATAGGCGACGCAAGAAGACGAGAGCCACCTTCCACGACGTCCCCTTCGTTAAGTCCTCTCCACGTGAAGTCCTCTGGTGCTTCACAAACTCGTCGATGTCCTTCTTTGTAACAATATCCGGACGGCCGGTTAATTCTGGTGCACGTTTCAACGCGTGGAAAATGCAGAGTCCTTCCATGTCCGCACCGATAGCATTCTTGCCAAATTCATCGGTAGGCCAGAATTAAGCGAACGTCTTGACTTTAGAAGCTTTTCACCTGTCGACCAGCTCGAACTCCTTCCGGAAATTATCGGCAAGCAGCTGAGAACGGGGCTCCCATGTCCGCTGATAGTACCGTCGTTTCTTGACGAGAGGATTAATCCACAGCACTTGGTATGTGTATTCCACTAGCGAGTCACCGCGCCGGTCATTAATCCTAGCAACCTGCCACGTTTCCTTGGTTGACATGTAGTTTGCGGTGACAGTCAACTTCGACCGCTCGTAATTTTTGTCGTAGATGCGCCAATACATCTCATTGTCGCTGTCACTATCATCATTTGTGTCACTAGGCACATAGTCGGTGTCAGAATGTGTCACTTTTGTGGTTTCAGGGAAACATCATTATATTTCCCCACTTTAGTGACATCGGGTGGAATAGTGGCAACGAGTGCTCGAAAAGCCTCCTCTTCATCCTCCAGCGCGGCGATAAGAACTGGCGCAAGCTGCTGTGCTGTCCGTGATGCCCGCTTCTTCTTGTCCCTCATAGAAGCGCCCTCTGCAACTGGAAAAGACTCTTTGCCCTCCAAAACAGCCTCTGGTGATGCTTGAGCCATTATACCTTTTAACACAGCGTCACACGCTGGTCGCCCAGTCTCAGAAACTGCTTCAGCCTCTGGAACGGCCTGAGGAGTTGTAGTGCGCGACGTGATCATCGCAGTGTGCGTGGCAGCAGCTCGATCAGCTGCTTATGCCTTCTTTCGAGCGCGCAATCGTTTTGCGGTTGTGCTCTTCCGTTTATGCGTGGGGGAGCCTGCTTCGTAGCAGCGGCAAGTAGAGACGACATGTTGGGCTCCATCCTCGAGTTCCTACCAGGCGTGTCACTTAGCGTCCTCCTTCCCTAGCAGAAACTGCAGGGCAAAGTCAGATCGGCTAGCCTAAGCGACTTCCTTGGCGGCGTTTCAAGGACTGAGGAAAAGTCCTTTAAAAAGTGTTTTACCTCTGTTATAACATAGAATTGTCAGTTTGATAAAGTATGTTCAGAGGCAGGGAGGCTGTTGAAGTAGCCTCTAAACAGTATGATCACCTTGAACGAATCTCTCTAAGATATTATAATGAGATTTAGGATGTCCTGTTTAAGCCGCTATTACTAGCTTAAACTATACTAACACTAATGGCTGGTGTGCAGCTATTAGTAGCTGGCTTCCTAAGACTAATAAAGTGCACACTTCGTCTTTTGACGCCTACAAGTAACGTCTTCTTCTTCTCTCTACTTCTTCTCGACCTGTTATACGAGTTATAAACCGGAAGAACGTTGAAGGTCCTCCTTCGCTTCGAGGGTGAGACGCATGGGAAGTCATGCCAAATGAGGGCTTAAAGAGACCTGATGCACCCGCAGCGAAGCGGAGGGCTGCAATGGTCGGCGCGTAGCCCGGAGTAGTTACACCAAAAAGGAAGTTATAATCTAATCCAGACACCGCGCCTGGCTAAGTCCGCAGACGAGTGCCAACGCGCGAGTGTCCTACCAACTACAGTACTATGATTAAACATGTCTACATGTAGTACTCGTTCATCTGCCGTTTCTTTAAAACCTGTCGAATCAGATACCTGTACTCGGGGCTCTGCTTCGTGTACTCAGGGTCAGTCGGCTTCCTCATGGCGTCGAGGAATCATTTGGAATCCCTGTGTGCACTCGCAAGGAGGATAGAGACGCGAGGTGCTCAACATGCAGTAGTCGAACTGACTCCCCATATGTAGGTTCTACCTGCATTTTTTAAAACAAAATAGTGTCATTCCTCACAACGAAGTCTATAAGACCACAGATAGCTGTAAGTATGGGTGTGTCCCATGAGTCTGTGTGGGTCTCTCTGCCTTTCTTGTCCGCATGGCGACCATCGAGCAATCCTTTGGTGGCTGTTACAGCTCTAAAATCACAGATGTCTTGCCGCCAAAATTAAAAATAACGTTAAAACGCTTAGAAAATCTCCAAAATCATTTTTTCTTTCATCCAATAGTTATTCGGCATTATTAAACTTTTACCACTCTCAGCGAATCAGAGACTGAAAAAAAATATGCACAGCCACAAAGCCAGAGGCTGTGTGCCGGGCGTATCCGGTACCTATGACCAGCTCATTTGAGCTTTGGCCGCCCTCCACAGACCTCGTTCCCTCCCAGACAACTACCTAGAGCACCAACCAGCGTCTAATTAATCGAAATGGTTACCAAGAAGGTCGCTATCACCGGTGTGGTGGTCATTTTGGCTGTCATCGGTGTGATTGTCGGCGTGTTGGTCGCTCGCAAGTCTAGTGACTCCACCAGCGAGTCATCAGGCACGAACAGCTCCGGCTCCGGCTCGAAGGGCACCGGCAGCGGGGCATCGACCACGTCGTCCTCGACTTCGGGCACCACCTACAAGCTCAAGAACTCGACGAGTTCGGCGTCGAGCTCCGTCACCTCCGACCCGACCGATGGTGAGCTCTTGACATTTTTGTGAGACGGTACCAACTACTTGCGTTGATGATTTGTGTGTGGAACGGCCAAGTTCACCGTCTCGGCTTTTGCTATCGGCGACTGGGGCACGACTGTCACGAAGGATTCGTGTTGCACCCGTTCGTCCACTTACAACGACTACGATGTCAACGCGGAAGATATTGTGGCCAGCCTCATGAACCAGCAGGCTACAGCCGCTTCAGCTGTCCCCAAGTGCATTTTGAGTCATGGTGACAATTTCTACTGGACAGGCATTGACGGACGTGACCAGAGGTTCCGAAAATGTTATTTTTATTGAGACTGGCAAAACAGCAATAAAAATAATTTTAAGTGCTTGGAGCACCACGGGTGCAAAAATTATTGGTGTTATTGTATGCAATACACAGTGGGCTGATACTCGTCTAGTTGGTGGGAGCCTCACCACGCACAACCTTCCGGAGTGTGGCAGCGTTCCACTAGGCTCGGTTCAGCGACCAACCATCAAATTGAGAGGGCAAGAGCGCGGCAGATCGATTAAAGATTGCAGTTTAGCTGGACCGCTGGTCCGTAGGGCTCCATCGAGCCCGGTTAAAGGTTAGGAAAAACCTACTGCCCAGGTTTTTGGTGCATAGCCGTGCGACTATTGACCAGGTGTAAAGCACAGGTTTCGCCAGGTTTCTTGCCAGGCTGTAATTAATAAAGTAAAATACCATGATTTGAAAATATTCCCCTACACCTACTAATCTCATGATACGGCACCTGATCGCCGTATTATCTCTGCAGCGCAGCTTCTCAAAATCCATTCATTTCCAAATTTGAGCCGTGCTGGAGGAATGAAGCGCAAAGCCCACTCTGAAGACGAAGCGTCCGTCAACGAAGATCCCCCAGCCTCTTTGTTCAGCGTCCCAGAATCGGAAGGTGAGAGGGAGGTGGTTACGCAGGTTGGCGGCAGTGCTAGCGACGAGGAGTTTCCAGCAGACCAGGAGGGCTCTTTTGAAGGGAAGGAGCTGCGTCGCTACCACACAAACTGGGAAAGCTGGGAGAAATACCGCGAATCGTATTGCGAATCCGAAAGTGCGCATCTTGTGGTGCACGAATCGGAGAGTGTCGCCAAACGCAACAAGATACTGCGTGCTTCTAAGCGCGCTATAGACGGTGGTTCGATGCGATACGTACCCGAGACCCTTCCCCGTTTTCGTCGACGATACATTTGTACGCACGGGTCGCGGACCCGCCGCCGTGGATCTGGAAAGAGACAGCAGTTCAATCTTCGAGGTACTGGCTGTCCATTTCGCTTTACTGCGGAGAGTGTGTACCACAAAGGAAAGTGGATTCTAGAGATCAAAAATCCCATCTACACTCACAACCACAAACTTTCCCAGGACATTTACGAACATTATCCACACGTTGTTGTGGCATCTCCTACCCAGAACGACGGGAATAGCTGTGGTATTTACGTACTCAACTTTATGTGGAGGCGTCTTGACGACAAGATCAGCAATGTGCAGAAGGACCCTCAGCTGAATAGCTTTAGAGTTCGGATGTTGTCCGCACTACTAAGTCAATAAATGCACTCATTTCATGTCAGATATTGAAGTTGTGTTTGAGTCCGAGCTTATCCGTATTGCCGCCGGTAAAACCTCAAGTACAAAAACCTGTTTTATAACCTGTTGTCAAACCTGCTAGATATCCCTTCACATATTTGGGATATCGTGCTGATATCGCTCTAAGTACAACTACCTGGAGTAAAACGTGTTTGAATACCTGGGATGATGTGGCGTGTCACGTTTACATGCACAAAACTGGTGTCCCAGACACTGTATGAGCACCACACAAGAATTGCAGACCTGCCATCCAATCATTACGATTACAGCAACCTCCGCACTTCAACAAATTGGGTTGTGCAAATCCTTTTATTCCACCGTCTCGTGAGTATGCAGAGCTCTAAACAAAACAAAATATTAATAAGGCCAAGATGCGTAAATTACATTTTTATTTCAATGCGAAATACATTACGACCTGGTTTCAATCCTGCTTCAGGTTGTGTACCAGGTTTAATTCGCACATCTATGCACCAAAAACCTGGGCAGAGAGAGCGCAGAATAAATTATTTGATTTTGAAATGGGAGCTCGAAAATAAATCATTTTACTGCAAAATAAAAAATATATTTAATAAAAATAACATTTTCGGAACCCCTGGACGTGACTCTCGCTTCACGACCACCTTTGAAGGAAAATATGAAGGTGACAACATTAAGAATATCCCTTGGGTTAACGTGCTTGGTAATCACGACTACGGTGGCGCCAGTTACATCTGCTCGGACGGTGACAACCCGGCCGAGTGTTCGGATGCCGACGCTGTTGTGACTGCGCTTGAGAATAAATTCTCATGGCAGTCAACATACACGAGTCCTAACGACGATCGTTGGATATTGAAGGATCACTTCTACGTCTACTCTATTGAGGACAAAGACTCAGATGTGAGTATCGACATCTTCAACGTTGATTCGGGAGATGCGAGCACACACGCTGCTCAACAGACTTGTTGCCAGTGTTACGGATACGCTGAAGGCGACGATGACACATGCAAGAATGTTGCTCGATGTGACAAGCTGTGTTGCGGTGGAAGTACGGACATGTACGACGCTTGTTATGCCAAATTCACCGAATGGAGTGACGATTCACGGAAGCAACTCGCCAAGGAAGTGGCGTCTTCGAAAGCCACGTGGAAAATCGTGAATAGTCACTACTCGCCGTACGCTCACTACGATGAGGATGGCATGGCCAAGTGGTTTAAGATCTTAAAAAACTCAGGCATCCAACTCTGGATGAACGGACACACGCACGGAGAGAACCACGACTACTCAGCTAGCTACAAGGTCCACTTTGTCGACAATGGTGCTGGCGGCGGGATCCAGAAGGAGTCTGCCAGTGGCATCCCCGAATACGCTTCGTCTGATGTTGAGGCTGTGTTGGGCGTACGGTGGCCAGGAGTACGGCTTCATGTCAGAGGAGGCGTCAGAGGAGTGGCTGAAGTTGCAGTACCACACAGCCGACGACTCGTGGTCTTTTGCGGAGAGTTTCAACTCAACCGAGATTGGAGGTGTTGCTACCAAACATTGCTGGTATATCCCGGTGGACGGTGGCACTGGCAAGGAGTGTTAATCAGCTTTAACGTGCATGTACCATGAGTGTTTAGAATGAATCTTTTTTTTGCGTGGGTTAAATTGCTTTTGTTGCCACATTGTTGTGGCAAGTTGCCGGATTTTGCCTAGAGAGAAATGATGGACGCTAAAAGCCACAACTGCGCGTTTGCTCCATGCGGCATGTGTGGAGAATACAGCACAAACGAACTACATATTGCGCCTTTATCGTTGTCTCGACAGTCAATTCAGATGTGAGGAGATGTTTTCCGGCACATTTTCAGAGTCCACGCCTCGTCTACTGTAATTAAATCCCTTTACAGTATTTGATGTTCGAAGGGAACAAAGTCTAATTTGCACGTCGACTTGCTAAGATTTAATCAAAAAGAGCCAGCGAGACAAGAACGAGGGATCGGATAGGCTATTGTTCAGAGCAGCAACACGGAGGCACCACAGTGAGTTCGTGCTCATTTGCGCTTTTGCCGAGGAGGAGAGGCATTAGAGCTCCCGTCAGGAGGACAGGACAAACTCACAGCAACTACAACAGGACAGCGACATCTCGGTGTCAAAATGATGTCCAAGAAAGCCCAGCTTGTCGGCGTGGTGCTGGTCCTCGCCATCATCGGCGCCATTGTCGGCGTCATGGTGGTGCGCAAGGCCAGCAGCTCTGCCAGCGAGTCATCGGGGACTGCTTCCTCTGGCTCAGGTGCCGGTGTGTCTAGTAGCGACAACGACAGCACGACCACCGGCTCGACCGGTGGCAAAAGCTCCGTGTCGAAGAAGAAGAAGAAGACAACTTCGGGCTCCGGCTCAAGTACCGGCTCAATTACATCCGATCCGACTTCCGGTAACTTTGATTTCGCTAGTCGTGATGTGTCACCCAGCTCAGTCTCATGAATTCTTTTGTTTTTTCACAGCCAAATACACTCTTTCGGCCTTTGCAATTGGTGACTGGGGTACCACTGTCACGCAAGACTCGTGTTGTACACGTTCGTCGACCTACAACGACTATGATGTCAATGCCGAGGACATTGTGGCTAATCTGATGGACCAACAGGTCTCTGCTGCATCGGCACCCCCTAAGTGTGTTCTCAGCCACGGTGACAACTTCTACTGGACAGGTATCGACAGCGAAGGTAGTCGTGATTCCCGTTTCACTGCCACTTTTGAAAAGAAATACGGAGGTGACAATATCAAGAATGTTCCATGGGTCAACGTGCTGGGTAACCACGACTACGGTGGCGCCAGTTACATCTGTGCGGATGACAAGGGCCTCGCCGCATGTTCCTCGGCTGAGGAGTTGGTTAAAGCACTGTCGAATAAGTTCCAATGGCAGTCGGACTACACGAGTCCGAACGACAACCGTTGGATTCTGAAGGACCATTTCTACGTGTACTCGATTGAGGACAAGGACTCAGGTGTGAGCATTGATATTTTCAATGTGGACGCAGGTGATGCCAGTACCCACGGAGCGCAACAGACGTGTTGCCAGTGCTATGGCTACGCAGAAGGTAGCGACAAGAAATGCAAGAATGTCGCTCGTGGAGACAAACTCTGCAGCGGTGGCGACACTGAGATGTTTGATGCTTGCTTTGACAAGTTCGCCGAGTGGGGTGATGACTCGCGTAAGCAGCTGGCCAAGGAGGTAGCAGCTTCGAAAGCCACGTGGAAGATCGTTAACAGCCACTATTCGCCATATGCTCAC